TCCCCATCAACACCACCACCACAAAACCAATTCTCATGAAGTCAGACATGTCCTCCGCACTCCTGTACTTCTTTTTACTCCTGTACTTCTTTATACTCAACAACAATTTTACTGCTTTACTGGGTCCAAAATCAGATGTTATAGCTCATAGACCACACAAAATCATACTGGGGAAGTCAAAAGGTTATAATGCAGGTTAGTAGCAGAATACCATCAGGATAGCTTCCAAAATGTGCTTGTAGGTGCCTCAGCCTTAAGCCCAGTATCACAGAGCTGTCAGTCTTGCCAAATATGGCTCTTCCTGCCCCTCCAAATGTCCAACAAATTTGGACAAAGGCTCTTAGCTCTGGTTCCGTAGCATAGCAGTCCTAAGGTCTCATCTCCTGTCCGTTCTTTGGTTCTTCACTATGGCTACTGCTTCTGTAGACCCTTGTCTGGCTAATGCAAGAATCTCTGGCTCCAAAGGATATACTACATTCTTTTGCTTCCCTGTTGCTAGTGGGGAAGATCACCTAATTCTGCTGCTGAATTTGCTCAACTGAATGGCAAGACCAACCTTCTGGATAGGCCAACAAACACTGCTCACATATTCCTACCTATCCTCATTGATAGAGAAGCCAATTTGGAGAAACTCTCAATAGCACATTAGCTATCAGTTGTCATCATTATAAAACCAGGGCCTAGGAAGAAAACCTAATATCCTAGATAATTCTCAATTCTATAATTTGTGTAAAGCTTAAAACTAGAAAAAGAAAGACTAGAAACTGTGAAACATTCGACAAAGCAGACTATTCAATCTTAAAGAAAATGTTAATAAAGTGGCAGTTTGGAATGCTGTAACAGTGGCAGACTTCCTCCTAATACTACTATCTAAATTTTCTGAAAAAGTGATCAGCATTTTTAACACATTAATATAGTTTATAAGAAACCATAAAAGAAAGGGGGAGGGAACCTTCAAACTCTGAATTAAAATGTAACTATTGGTTGCACAATAACTTGCCAGGAAAAGCTTTATCAAAGAAGGCTATTAAGAATCTGTAACTATGTGTTAAAGTAAAAAATTTATAAATATAACAAACACATAAACAAATTAACAGTGCAATACTGAAAGGAAAAGGGTTCTTCCATGAAAGAATAAAAGACCTTATCACAAATACTGACAGAAATGATAATTATTTTTTTAAAACTTTAAAAATGTTTAAAACTGAAAAGGACAACTTTTACATTTTAAATTATGAGATCATGCCTTTATTTGTATATAATATATAGTATATAAGAAATTACAAACCAGAATTTTAACTAAAATCAGACTATTCAGAACTAGCAAAGTAAAATAGGGGATTCTCTTAGAAAGATCTGACAAATTCAAAAGATATCTCTTCCCTAAATTTGAGTTTAGTCATATAATGATTGAAAAGCAACTATTTGAAGTAGTATTTTCTTTTTACTTTTCCAATTAGTATCTGCCCCCAAATGCCACTAATAAGTGAAGTTTGCCAAATAGATCTGTTTAACAGTGCTTAAAAGTTACATATAAAGTGAATATAATTTACAAATCACTTTATTTAATCACTTTAAGTTTTTAATAATTTCATGGTTTTCAGTAAGTCACTAGTAAAGTCTACTGAAATAATTCTATGTCTATACAAACTAAACTATCTTCCACAAAACAGAACCAAGTCCTGTAAATTTTAAACAGGCTCAGAACACTGGGAACACAAGTGAGGAAAGTACCTGTGAGGAAAGCTGGAGGAAAAGCCTCCTGAGAAAGACTACAATACAATTCTCAGCACTCACACAAAGCTAGGAGTATTTTCATCTCCCACATCTAGGGAAGGGGGGAAATATCATAATTCATGAGGCAGAAAAGTAAGAAAGGACTGAATTATTTAAAAAAAAAAAAAAAACCAAACTCACTGAGAAACATCCTGTATCTGATGGCTTCACTAGTGAATTCTGCCAAATATTAAAAAGCAAGTATATCAATAACAAAAAGCAAGTATATCTAAGCTCTTCCATAAAACTACGGAGAAATTAATCCTGCCCAATTCATTCTATAACACAAGAATTATCTTAACACCAAAACAAACAAACAAAAAGAGCATTCATGGGAAAAAAAGCGAACTAAAAGTTCATGTTGTTGTGATTAATGTTAGATGCCACTGAGTCAAACAGATCTGAACTTTGCCTTATCTTATGCTATCCTCATCATCTCTGATAATACACAAGCCCATTGTCACTGTATCAATCCATCTTGCTGAGGGTCTTCCTCATTTTCTCTGGCCCTCCTCTCCTCCCCAGCATGATTATTTTCCCCCCAAGGACTGATCTCTCTTGACAACATTTTCAAACTATATGAGATGAAATGTTATCATTCTTGCCTTAAAGGAACACCCTGATTGCACTTCCTCTTAAATCTCAAAAATTCAACTTATTGCCATCAAGTCAGAACTGACTCATAGCTGACTACAGCAGGTTTTCAGAGAATATATATTTACATAAGGACTATCCATCCTTCTCCCATGTCACAGCTGGTGGATTCAAATCACAAGCCTTTGAGTTGGCAGTCCAAGCTTTAATAACCACCATATCTCCAAAGAGCTTCATCTTCTCAGTACAGAAAAAAAATTGTGAAAATTTTAGCAAAAGATAGCATTCTAGGACTAAAACCAAGGACTATAAACTTCATTCAAGAAAAGCTTGGAAGAACTTTAGTGGTCCTAATCCACAACATAAAAAGTCTTCCAAGTATCCTGGAAAATCTACAACCGGGAGAAGATAAAATAGATGAATGGGACCTTCTAAGAATCAAATCCCTATGCACAGCCAAAAACTTCTCCAACAGAGTAAAAAGGGAAGCCACAGACTAGGAAAAAATATCTGGTAATGACATATCCAGATAAGGGACTTATATCCGGAATTTATAAAATACTTGAACACCACAATAAGATAAAGGTAAATAATCCAATAGAAAAATGGGCACAGGATATGAAGAGACATTTCACCGAAGAAGACATTCAGATGGCCAACAAGCACATGAAGAAATGTTCAAAGTCCCTAGCTCTAAGAGAGATGCAAATCAAAACAACTATGAGATATCATCTCACCCCAGTAAGAATAGCAAAATATAACAGAACAGCAAGCAACAAATGCTGGCGAGGATGTGGAGAAACTGGAACTCTTATTCACTGTTGGTGGGAATGTAAGATGGTGCAACCATTGTGGAAGGCGGTGTGGCGCTTTCTCAAAAAATTGCAAATAGAGATACCATTTGACCCAGCAATCCCATTACTGGGAATATACCCCAGAGAGACCATGTCTGCCATCCAAGCAGATATATGCACACCCATGTTTATTGCAGCTTTGTTTACAATAGCAAAAAGTTGGAAGCAGCCTAAGGGCCCATCAACAAATGAATGGATAGAGAAGCTGTGGTATATTCACACAATGGAATACTACGCAGCATTGAAAAACAAGGAACTCATGCAATATTATTCAAAGTGGGTGACCCTGGAGACATTATGCTGAGTGAAATATCTCAGTCACAAAGGGACAAATACTGCATGGTGCCACTGTTGTAGAATGGGTCTGACATCAGGGTGGGGGTATGACAGAAAAAACTGGATAAATTACGTATATTGTATTGAAACAGATGAGGGAAAGAACAGATTTGAAGTGATATATGATTGAGTATTATGGTTAGCACAGGAATCCAGAATTAAGGTTGCACAGAGAAGTGTACTCGGGGTGGGGGATGGGGGGAAGGGACGTGGGAATTGTATACTAATGAAGGAATTTCTTTTTTTTTCTCTCTCTTCAGAGGGGGAAGCAAGCTGGTGGGGAGGGGTGGGCAGGGAGAAAACTGTGGCAATGAATGAATGGAAATCCAAAACCTCTGTAAAAAAAGAAAAATAAAATAAAAAATAAAAAGAACTAAAACTGTAGGAGATAATGAAGCCACACACACACACAAAAAGATAATATTCTCATAGTCAAGTGAGGTTTATTTTAGGAGAGCAAAGCTAGTTTAAAATTCTAAAAGCATCTATATAATTTTTTGTATTAACAAACTGTGGGGGCAAGATAATTTTAGTGGAAAGCATTTGGAAAAAAGTCAACATTTATTAAAAAGCTCACAGTAAGCTAGGATTTGAAGGCAATTTCTTCAACCTTAAAAGTAAATCTGTAAAAATCTATAGCATAGTGGTAAGGAGGTGTGCTGCCAAACCAAAGTGGTTCTACCAGCTTCAATGGGAGAAAGATAGGTAATCTTCTCTCGTACAGTTTACAGCCTCTGAAAGCTCACTGGAGGGTTAGCTATGTGTCAGTGCTGATTCAACAGCACACAACAACAGCAGCAGAAGCAGCATATTAAAGTGAAAAAAACTGAATGTTCTTCTAGTTATCAAAACAAGGCAAATATATCTAATAATATGTATTGTTTCAGATCAGTATTAAGGAACAAGACAAAGAAAAATTAAGAAAGGACCAAAAACAAAGGTTAAGAAAGAAAACGGTTTTCATTTACAGCATAGCAGATAGAAAATGCTACAGAATCTAAAAAATTGCTATTACAACCAGTAATGATTTTAACAACTGGCTCCAAAATGAGCATACAAAACCAATTAACTGTATTTCTACATATACAAGCAACAAAGTACAATCAGAAGTGAAACAAAACTGTAACACTTGTATAAAAAACTTTGTAATAAATCTAACAAAAAGAATTACAAAATTTAAAATACAAAAATGAACATACACTTGACAAAACTTAAAAAATTGGATACTTTAATTATGTGTCAATAATGTTAGCTCAATTAAGTGCTCTTTTATAAAAGGATACATTAACAGAACTAAAAAACTGAAGCTGACAGTAATAATTCTTACAGTTAGTTAATCAATAAAAAGATGAGTCAAGAACTCTTGAGGCGATATACTTCTCTGACACAATGTTGTCAGTTAGGTAAACATGAATACAAAGTCTTTTTACAAATTGTTACCTGTGAGATGTGATTGATGGAAGATTCCATTCTCCGAAGTTGAGAGGCTTGGATGTCCAGCAACTGGAGTACATTGTTGGCCAATGCATTTATTTGATAAGCAACACTAGCTAGGGATTGGGTCGTATAGGCTTTGGTCTCTTCTAAAGCTTTTCTCTTGTCTGTAGCCTGAAATAAGAGCAAAAAAATCAATAGTGTTTTAGGTTAACATGAATTAATCATATCTTCTAGAAAAGACAGTTACTGGTACAGTTCAAAAGAAAAGCATAATTCAATCAAAGAATTTACTAGATTTATCTGATCTGTTAAATGAAAACACTTTCTAGACAGTGGCATAAGTCATATCAGAAATTTCTTAGTAACTCACTCCCTCTTGACTACTGCTGTCCAATGAGGTCTGCTGAACGGGGTACTGGATAATTATCACCACAGTATCAGAAGCACACTATTTTTATTTTATTTTATTTGTACAAGTACCATCAAATCTGACTGGTACAAGAGGTGATTGTCCCTCCTTATCCAGCAGAGCATTTGGTGGATTAGAACCGCGCAACTCTGGAATTGCAGTGCAGAAGCACACTATTAACAGGAAGCTCTGGGAGCCTAATTGGTAGAGAGTTATGCTGCCAACAGAGGTGGCCCCTTTTTTGAAGTCTAAGTCCACCAGTGGCTCTGCAAGGAAAAAAAATGTGGACTTTTGTAAAATTTACAGGCTCTGTAAACCCACTAGAGAGTCAGCTGTGGGTCCACAGCAATGAGTTGAAGGCCATTTTTTTTAATGTACACTCTCCTTCAATCACCAATTAAATGCATATATCTTTAGGATTTCTGTCAATCTAAGCTCCTAAACTAATCCTAAGATACTAATGATATTGTTGTTGTTGATATGTGCCGTCGAGTTGCTTCAACTCACAGCCACCCTATGTACACCAAACAGCCCTAAACCCTGCTCTGTCCTGTGCCAATCTCACTGTCTCCGACACACCCATCCCGATTACCCCAGTCACTGAATCAATCCACCTCATAGAGGATATTCCCCTTCTGCGCTGTCCCTCAACCCTCTCCAAGGACTGGTCCCTCCTTGCAACATGTCCAAAGTATGTCAGACAAAGCCTCAGAATCCTTCCCTCCAAGGAGCAGCCTGATTTAAACCTCTCTAAGATAAACCTGTTTGTTTTCTTGGCAGTCCATGGTACATTCAGTACTCTTCTCCAGCACCACAGCTCAAAGGCATCAATTCTCCTTCTAGCCTCCTAATGATAGACGAAATCCATTCTACCTTATATTCATTCCTATTTTGCTTGATCACCACCAAATTCCATCACCTCTAGAATCCATTTTAGTAATCAAGCCACTCACCACCATAAAGCTGCTTTAAGTAATTATGACTCATTCCTTCTTCCCAAATAAACGCCAGTACTTAAATCAATCAGATGGTAAGAAATTCTCAAAGAAGCAAAGTTAAAAAAATAAGTGATTAAGGGAGAAGTAAAAGGGTAATAACAGTAATAAATTGTTTAAAATATTAAGAAAAAGACCAAAAGGCATAGGAAATTAGGTAAGAGGAATAGCAGTTTACAGAAAAAGTAATCCAACCAACCAAAGACATTAAATCTAGCTCATAACAGAAAAGAAATGTCAATGAAAAACTAATAGGAGAAATACACCAAAGTTTGACAAGGTACTCAGCAAAGTTATATGGAAAGGTTAGTGATGATGATGATGATGATGATGATGTTGTTGTTGTTATGTGCCATCGAGTCGCTTGCAACTCATAGCGACCCTATGTTACAAGAGCGCAAAATGCCACACAGGATAGATAGGTTAGTGATATGAAGAAAAATTACATACAGATTTAGCACTGCTGACCAAGCTCACTTTTAGGAAATCTATCTCTAATTGCTAGTAAAAACACAAGATGTAAGCATAAAATTATTCACTGTAACTGAGAAAAACTGGATAAATTGTGTATACTGTACTGAAACAGATGAGGGACTGAATAATTTAGAAGCGATGCATGATAGGGTATTATGGTTATCACAAGAGTCCACAATTAAGGTTACATAGTGAAATGTACTAGGGGTGGTGGGAGGGGTGCGGGGGGATTGTGTACCAGGGAGGGTGTCTTACTTTTGAAAGAGAGGAGCGAACTGGGGGGTGGGAGGAGAGGGCTGGGTGGGGAGAGAAGTGCAGCAATGAATGAATGGAAATCCAAATTCTCTGTAAATGTTCATTAAAATTATTTTTTAAAAAATTATTAAAAAAAAGTATTCACTGTAGCACTATATTTAACAATATAAGACTAATATACCAGTACAATTAGCTTAACACAGCAGGCTCAACAGATCATGGAAAAGAATGCTGATGGAAAAAGGAATCTTAATATCCCTTATAGAAGTATCTATATTATCACTAGGGTACTCCAGTAGTACAGTTCATAGGTTGCTTCACTGCTAACTCAAAGGCTTTATCTTTTGGCAATTCAAATCCATCAGCAGCTCTCGAGAGAAAAGATGAGCAACTTCCTTCTGTGTGATTTACAGCCTCAAAAACTTAATCAAGGGTCAGCTACTAGTCAGTTTCAACTCAAAAAGAATGAGTTTTTATTATCACTATGCCATCATATCCAGAATGCTGCTATTGCTATTACTAGGTGGGATCAAGTTCAATTCATAGCAACCCCATGTAAAGGGGTTTTTAGAAATGTAAATCTTAATGGGAGCAAACTATCTCATTTTTCTCCAATGGCACAGCTGGTGGATTCAAATTACTGACCTTTCACCAGCCTAACATGGAATGAACTACAGCATAGGATGAATATGGATTGTTGTTGCTGTTGGTTTTGAGTGCTGTTGAGTTGACTACAACTCTTAGCAACCATATAAACAATGGATCTGAACCATGCATGCTCTATCTTGTGCCATCCTTACCATCTCTGATATACTTGAGCCCATTTTTGCAGTCATTCTGTCAGTGCACATTGTTGAGGGTTTTGTCTCTTTTGCTGATTCTCCACCTTTCCAAGCAAGATGTCTTTTTCCAAGGCCTAGCGCCATTGTAACAATGCTCAACGAATGTGAGCCAAAGTTTTGCCATCTTTGACTTTAAGGCATATCCTGGTTGTAATTTTTCCAAGCCCAATGTGAAATGAATTATATCATCAGATAGTGTATACAGGTATGTATATGTGTATGTTATTGTATGTATATACAGTAAGTGTGCACATACATCTATATATACAAACAATAAACAAACACAATATATGTGCTATCTATTATATATGATCAATTAATAAAGACTATGGGGGGGACATAATTACAAATACTTTTTACATATCGCACATAACACTGCACAGGATGGGTTTTCTAGTTTGAAGAATTAGATCCACAGTATTTCACAGGATCTTAAAAAGGTAATATATTATCCCTAGTTTATGAGTAGTTTCTAACATCTTTAAACTTGCAAGCAGCATTTAAAATACAAAGAAAACAAAAATCTTCACACTGGACCAATAAGCAACATCATTATAAATGGAGAAAAGACCAAAGTTGGCAATTATTTCATTTTATTAGGTTCCACAATCAACACCTATGCCAAAAGCAGATAAGAAATGCATTAGGGAAATGTGCTGTCAAGAACCTCCCAAAAGTAACTTTCATTAAAATAAAATAAAAATTAAAAAGAGCCTCCCAAAGGTGCTAAAGAGCAAAGATAGGAGTTTAAAGACTAAGGTGCAACTCATCCAACCCATGGTCTTTTCAATTGTATCCTACACATCTAACAGTTGGACAATGAATAAGGAAGAATGATAAAGAATCAATGTCTTTGAATTGTGTTGTTGGTGAAGAGTATTTACAATCAGTCAAAAAGTACAAACAAATCTATCTTGAAGAAAGTACAACCATACTGCTCCTTAGAAGCAAGGATGGTGAAACTTCATCTCATTTTCTTGGGGCATATTTTCAGGATGAATTCAGTCTTTCGAAAGAGACATTATGCTAGAAAAAGTAGGGAATCAGCTAAAAAGAGGAAGACTCTAATCAAGATGGACTGACAGAGTGAGCACCGCAATGGGCTTTAACAGGACAGAGATTGTGAGGATGATGCAGGATAGAGTAGGCTTTAGACCTGTTGTTCACAGGACGTAAAAACAACAATATTTATCTCAACTCGTCTAAAGGAAAAGAAGAAAACCAAAGACACAAAGAAGAAACTATTCTACAAAACAAATAGTTTCTACCAAAATCTAATCTACCGTGAGACTAGAAGAACTCGCTGGTACCAGGATAGCACTACTCACCAATCTGACTGGGGTCACAATGGATGAATCTTGATAGAATTGAGGGGGAATAATATGTTTGAGAACCTCACATTCTTCAATTAAAAAATAAAACAAGATCCACCAAACAAATAAATATAAAAAACACAAAAAGTCTCAGATTTTGCAACTAGTTGAGACTATGGATTTACCAAGATATTCTTTATTTAAACCTTGAACCAAACTAGTCCTTGACTTCAGCTTATGGCTCACAAAACAAAGAAAATCATGTGAGTTCTATGCTTCTCTTAAAAATTAAAACTACAGAAGATGAAAGGGAACTATGGTGGCTTGGTGAGTAAGTGCTGTACTTTACAATCCAAAGGCACAAGGTTCGTATCTACAAGAATCTCCAAGAGAAAAATGGGCAATTCTCCAGTGTGATTTACTACCTCTGAGAACTTGCTGGAGGGCCAGCTATAAGTCAGTTCCAACTCGATGGTACTAAACAACAATATCCTAAGACCAAAAGACAGTAATTATCTTAAAGATGAACATGTAAGGAAGCAGGGAAACTAGATTAATGAATATGGAACAACTTGGATAAAAATAATGAGACTATTCACACATTGTAAAGACTGTAATGTTATTGAAGAAAATGCAGATTGGGAATCTAAACTTCTGTGTAAACCTTCACCAAAATCCCAAGAAAATATTATTTCCCAAAAAAAACAAAAGTTTACATATGATCAAAATTAAAAGGGGAGAAACTGCACTGCAATCCCAGAGGTATGTGGTTCAAATCCACCAGATGCTCTGCTGGAGAAGGGGGGGCAATCTCCTCCTGTACCTGTCAGATCCAATTTGATGGTGTACACACACACAGAGCAAAATTTTTTAAAAAAGGGTG